GACCTTGTGGTTCAAACCGACCATGTAGTCGAATGCTAATCTTACAACGCCACATCAGACTCCATATATTGTTGTTGTTGTTGTTGTTAGTTGCCGTCGAGTTGGTTCCGACCCATAGCGACCCTCCCTGTACAGGGTTTCCGAGGCTGTAAATTTTTACGGGAGCAGAAAGCCTCATCTTTCTCTCGCGGAGCCGCTGATAGTTTCGAACTGCTGACCTTAAGGTTCGCAGCCCGATTCGTAACCACTACACTTACCAGAGTCCATGTATACTTACTACTTTCCCTTTTTACACTTCGACTAATGAAAGCTTTATCTTGGACTTGCATTTACAAACCATTGCCTTAGTTTGTCTATTGTTTGGGTTTCCGCTGTTTTCTTTTTAAATGAAGTTATTTTGTGCTTTTGAAATTAGAATCCTGAGTTCCGAATTTGCTCTCACCATTTGACTAGTAGGTGAGCAACCATTAGTGAGTCGCTTTGCTCCTCTGACCCTTCTTTGTTGTTATGTGCCGTGGAGTCGATTCCGACTCATAGCCACCCTGTACAGGGTTTCCGAGGCTGTAAATCCTTACGGGAGCAGAAAGCCTCATCTTTCTCCCGCGGAACAGCTGGTAGTTTCGAACTGCTGACTGTGAGGTTCACAGCCCGATTCGTAACCACTACAAGGTCGCTATGAGTCGGAACTGACTCCACGGCACATAACAACAACGCTACTAGAGCTCCTTTTTCATTTCCTTTTAAACTGAGGGATGATTTGTGAGAAGCTTGTAAAATACTGTGGCACCTAGGATTTGCACTGGACTACGAACCACAAGGCCAGCAGTTCAAATTCACCAACTGCTCCTTGCAAAGCCTATATAGGGTTGCTATGGGCCGGAACTGACTCCATGGCACTTAACAACAACAAGGAGTCCTGCTGTGGTGATGTAGGAGAAACACTGGACTGCTAACCACAAGATCAGTGGTTCAAGCCCACCAGCCATACATTGAAAACCTTATTCAGGGTTGCTATAAATTGAACCAACTTTACAGAGCTTAACAACAAAGGATTTGTTGGGAGCTGTGTGACTCTAGGATAAGCTCAGGGCTGCAGGCCACAAGGTGGGTGGTTCAATTCTACCAGCCTCTCTGCAGGGAGGAAGATGAAGCTTTCTGCTCTTGTGAAGATTTACAACCTCAGAAACCATAGACAGGGTCTCTCTCTGAGTCAGAACTAACTGGATGATATACAACCACCACGCGTTTATTATTTTAATAGAAAATATAAGAGTAAATGTAATTCTCTTATTTAGTAGAAAATAATTCAGCTGTCTTTTTAAAACTCCTTTCCACATCAGTCAATTGACTGCCACATTAGTTACCAAAAATTGCTGTTTTTCTCTATTTTTTTTTTCTTACTGTTACTTAGTTCAGAATTGAATCATTTGCTTAGATTTATGGATAAAAGATTTGGTGATTTGCTCCAGTAAAGATTACAGCTGTAGAAACCTTATGTTTTTGTTAAGTGCCTTAGTTTCAGTTCTGACACATTGTTGTTGTTGTTATGTGCTGTGGAGTCGGTTCCGACTCATAGCATCCCTGTACAGGATTTCCAAGGCTGTAAATCATTATGGGAGCAGAAAGTCTCATCTTTCTCATGCGGAACAGCTGGTAATTTCGAACTGCTGACCATGAGATTAGCATCCCAATTTGTAACCACTATGCTACCAGAGCTCCTTTTCTGACACATAGCAACCTTGTATTGGGTTTCCGAGGAACGGATAGCGAGCTTGAACTGCTGGTCTTGCAGTTCAAATGACTGCAGTCTAGCGTATTAACCTGCAGCGCCACACCAGGACTCCAAGAAAACCTTGTGAGGCATTTCTAATCTGTCATATGGGGTCACTATGAATAAAATTAGTTTGATAGCATCTAACAGTTGCAAAACCTAACAGACCTTCCTAATTTCCAGCCCAACTTTCCCTTTTATTCCTTCCTTACAAATTCCCGACCCAGTTACTTAAAACTCTCCTTATCTTCAGAGTGAGCAAGGCCTTTCTAATTGTGACAGAAAACCCAGAAGCTTTAAAAGAAAAGATTGACCACTATAAGCCAAGGACTAATTTTCCTCTGGGCAAATTAACTACATGATACACCCCAATAGAAATTTAATCAGAAACTATTAATTGTTGTTTAGTGCCATCGAGTTGGTTCTATCTCATAGTAACCCTGATTAGGATTTCCAAGGAGCAGATGGTAAGTTTAAATTGCTGACCCTGTGGTCCAAACAGATCTGCAGTTGAGTGCTTATCCTACAGCGCCACACAAAAAAGAAAATAGAAGTAGCTGTAAAAAATATACTCATTCATGTGAAATGTAATTTTAAAAATTTGGCAAAGCTCCCAAACTTTGACAACTGGGTATTGATGAGTGAAGAAACAGACGCTCATATATCGCAATGTAATTGTAAACTGTGAACTGGCATGATTCTAATGAAATGCTAATTGGCAATATCAGAATTAGCAATTCACAAAGCATTAGATCCAGCACTTCTGTTTATGTCGTTGTTGTTGTCAGACTCCACTGAGTCAGTTCCATCTCTTAGCCACTCTGTGTACAGCAGAACAAAACACTGCCCACATCAGCCTCACAATTGTTCCTGTATTTAAGCCCATTGTTGCAGCCATTGTGTTGGTCTGTCTTGTTGAGTCTTCTTTTATGCTACCCATCACATGCAAATTGAAATATGAATTAGCTTCACAAAGTTTGTAGAAATACTTCATTATCTTTTCATCCCATTTTCCCATAAACTTGTTGAAGCCCACTTATATCTTCTAAGCTTTTCTTATTGTTAATAAGAAAAAAGTCAAAACTGTCTAAATGTCTCATAAATACCAAAAGCAACAAAAAATGCCATCAGGATGATTCTTTGACATAGCAACTCAGTGTGTGTCTGAGTAGAACTGTGCTCCATAAGGTGTTCAGTGTTTTTTAGAAGTAGATCACCAGGCCTCTATGTCAAGGCACCTGTTAGCAGCCAAGTACATTAATCACTTGTACTACCCAGAAGGAGCTCTGGTAGCGCATAGTGGTTATGAATCGGCCTGCGAACCTTAAGATCAGCAGTTCAAAACTACCAGCCGCTTCGCGGGAGAAACATGAGGCTTTCTACTCCTGTCAAGATTTACAGCCTTGGAAAACCTGTATAGGATTGCTGTGGGTCAGAATGGACTCGACAGCACTTAACAACAACAACCCAGAAACTCTGCTTTCAGCACCTAAACCAAATCTGTTGCCTTTGAGTTGATGCTGACGTGTGGCAGCCCATGTGCTACAGAGTAGAATTATTTCCTAGGGTTTCCTTGGTTGTGATGCTTCTGGAAGCAGTTTGCCAGGCCTTTCTTTAGTTAGCAGCTAGTCACAAACTGCTTGTGCCAGGCACTCTCAACTTGATGGCGACAAGATTTTTTACAGAAGCAGGTTGCCAGACTTTTCTTTCATGGCACCAATGGGTGTGTTCAAACTGCCAACCTTTAGGTTAATCATTGTTGTTGTTGGTATGTGCCATGGAGTCAGTTCCAACTGATATCAACCATGTATAGGGTTTCCAAGGCTGTAAATCTTTACAGGACCAGAAAGCCTCATCTTTCTCCCGCAGAACAGCTGGTAGTTTCGAACTGCTGACCTTTGTGGTTCGCAGCCTGATTCATAACCACTACGCTACCAGTTGTTGTTGTTGTTGTTAAGTGCCGTGGAGTTGGTTTCGACTCATAGCGACCCTGCACAGGGTTTCCGAGGCTGTAAATCTTTACGGGAGCAGAACGCTACCAGAGCTCCTTAAAAATAATGATGTAGCATATTTAATATTTTCACAACATACTATATGAGAACAGAGCAGTATCCTTGAATCCAATTATGTGATTCAAATTGGTGTACAGGAAAAGACCTGGAAGGATATAGTCCAAAACAATAACAGTGATTATTTCCTGGTAACTATTTTTGTGTGTTTTTTTTAATTTTACATGTTTTTACTTTTGATCAGAGAAAAATGTGATTTCTAAAGAGCTGCAGAAGAAAAGATGTCTTGAGAACAATAAGTTCTAATTATATATCATAATACCTTCTCCAAATTGATCTGAGTATTTTGATTAATGGATTGACTAATTTTCAGAGAATATAAAGTATGCACACAGTTACACAGAACTTAGTTTAACTTTTGTTTGTTAATTGAGAAGGCTCTAGGATTTTATCTCATGTCAGAATTAAGACATGATCACTTGTTTACTCTGTTGAACATAGAAAAAAGAGTCTACTTATAAATAGAAAATGGAGTCCTGCTTTGGTGCTGTGGGTTAATGCACTGGACTGCAAGGTTGGTTTGAAACACAAGGTCGGCGGTTCAAGCTCGTCAGCCTTTCCTCGGAAACCCTATGAATCGCTATGAATCGAAACTGACTTGATGGCACTTAACAACAACAACATAAATGGATAATAACTGACATTTGAATTCTTGCTATATACCAGACACTGCTAAAAAATTTTGACATGTTCTTAGACATCAAATTCTCACAACTCTGTAAAATAGGTACTACTATTATCTCTATTATACAGGTTTGAGAAACTAAGGCCCAGATGAGATAACAGAAGTATCCAGGATATCGATTGCTATTGGTGAATAAATTGTTTATTGTAATTAGGGGAGGAGAGTCTATGAAAAAAATCCCATATGTTTGGCGTAAACAGCCGACTGGATAACAAGAATGTGTATGTCCCTGGGTCATGGACAGGGGCTTCTGTCAGTAGAAGCATTGCCCAAGCCAAAAACCTTGCTTTCAGGCAGAGTCCCTTTATTACTAGGAGCTGAGTGAGGTCTGGAAAGCTTGCTTATTATTTCTCTTGGCTGACTTTAACAATGATTTCTTGAGATCTTGTAGGTGATGCTTTCCACGCTCTAAGGAAGAAGTGAAGCAGGACTGAGATTGGCCTGGAGAGGAGGAACCTTTTCTTGAATGACAACAATGACAAGAGAAAATTGGGCCCACAATGCTCTGAGACAAGAGGGGCTTATGAAAGGCAAGGATGATATCTGGAAATGGGGAACCAGCCTCCAAGGGAGCAGCTCCTCTGTGTGGGAGACTTCCCACTTGCATTTTAGACAGTTACGTTACAATGAAACATCTGGGCCCCAGGAAGCTCTGAGCCGACTCCGGGAGCTCTGTCGCCGGTGGCTGAGGCCAGAAGCACGCACCAAGGCTCAGATCCTGGAGCTGCTGGTGCTGGAGCAGTTCCTGAGCATCCTGCCTGGAGAGCTCCGGACCTGGGTGCAGCTGCATCGTCCCGGGAGTGGGGAGGAGGCCGTGGCCCTGGTAGAGGAGCTGCAGAAAGACCTTGATGGACCAGCACTCAAAGTGAGAAAGGGGGAGGGAGGATCTGGGATGGAGGGAAAGAGAAAACTGAGGCAGGGCAGGCTGGCTAGAGTGTGATCCTGGGATTTTTATTAATAGCATATTAGCAACCCTTATGCTAATGAAAGTAGGTTCGTGAGCCATTCCAACCATAAAATATCTTTGCAGAGAAATGGATTTATAATTGGAGACTTTGGGTCCAACTTAGTATCAGCAGAAAGACAGTGACTCTGCTTTGTCTACTTTCCCACCCCAGGTGATACTTGCTAATGCTGGGTTTGGTTCAGGAACTTGAAGATTATGATGTTTGTAGGTGCTCCTGAACTAGAAGCCTATATATTAGCTATGTAAGTCCATTTAGAATGATAATGTGAGCCCTGGTGTAGCGAGAATGAAGCTTTCCAGGTCTGATAAGACCTCCCCTTTGTGACTGTGTGCCCTTGCTAAGGATTCTGGGAGTCAAGGTACTGGGCTGAAATATTTGCATCTGATAGAATTTAATATTCTTGATGATTAAATTGGAATCTTAATATAGCCTCTAATATTTGTGTGAGAACTCGTCATGCCTACTAGAAACACATCTGTATATGAAGTGTTTAGTATATGAAATCTGGCCCTTAACTTAAGTTCAGGTTAATACCAAGAATGGATTTATTTGTTTGTCGTAAACATAAGAATAAATAATTTTAAAGCTATATAGTTCACTAAAAATAACTAACCTATCATCATTTGAGAGATAAGGAATCTGAGGCAGGAAAATGTCTCAGGTCAGTCAAACACGTAGCTCACAGCAAAGCCTGGGGTCTAGCCTCCCACTCCAGTGTCCCTTCTAGATGGTATTAGTAAAGGGGTAAATAGGTAGAAGAGTTTGGTAGAACCCAGGTCTTACTCTCAAATCCATGCTCTTAATTATTGCTCGTTACTTCCCATTCCCTCCTTAACCCACCTTCAGGTCTGGCTTCTGTCCCCACTGTTCTGTCCAATCTCTGGGAGAGGTCACCAGTGCCATAAGGGCATAATGGCAGCTCCATTGTTCTCAAGGCAAAGCTTTACTGCTGTTTTGATGCTCCATACTGGAGGTGGGTATCTCTGATCTCACAGTTCTGGATTTGGGCAGAAAAAGGTCCAAGATGGCTAGGTGAGTCCATTTTCTGGTGGTATGAGAAGAGTCAGCTTGTTTTGTCGTTTCCAGGTTTCAGTCCTTACCCAGGCCCAGGACACTCTACAGGAGGGGATGGACTCTCCAGGAATAACACTTCTTCCTGCATGCTCTGGCAACCACACATCAGCTGGAACGTGCCCAAATCCTCTTACTGACTCAGCTGTGTTTAACCAGGATCCTCAACATGGTACTTACTCAGAGACCCTGGCTTGAGACTTTCTCAGGACCCTTATTTTTTGGTTCATCCCCCTGCTCCCAAGGAGTTGCTTCCTCTCCTTTAGTACTAAATTCACTGTGCTGTTCTCCTTCTTGTCCTTTTTTGCATCCCTCTACCCCTCTATCCATTATTATTGCTACTGTATTTGGGTTAATGTGCTAGATTTCAAAGTTGGTTTGAACCATAAGGTCAGCAGATCAAGCTAACCAGCCACTCCTCAGAAACCATATACAGACTCGCTAAGGGTCGGAACCAACTCAGCAGCACTTAACAACAGCAATGTGTCATTCATAAAATGTTTGTAGGTCATTTTCCCGCCAACTCATATGTAGGAGATAACTAGGTTTTTTGATAGTGGGCAGAAATTGTAGTAATCTCACATGTAGCTTTCGTTCCTCAGATCTTCTTGCCCCTGAAGCTTCTGCCCTTTCCCAGGAAGAGAACCCAAGGAATCAATTAATGGCGCTCATGCTCCTGACAGCCCAGCCCCAGGTAAGGTTTGCACCATCCTTCCTTCCTGAGGCCCTATCTATACTAGCTAATAGTTGCTGGGCCCAGTTTCATCCTAGTGCTTTGATGTCCAAGCAGTTTCCGTCTCTCAAACAAGGTCTGTGCTCCTGGAGAATTACATGGGGTCTCATCTCTCCCTGATAGTTCTTGCCTACTTCATGACCTCACAATGTATCTCTTCTCCATTAATGAAAGGAACCTTTCTGCAGGGACGTTCCTGCTCATGAATAATCTCACACATGCCTGTTGTTTCAGGAGCTGGTGATGTTTGAGGAGGTATCAGTATGCTTTACTTCAGAGGAATGGGCCTGTCTGGGCCCAATTCAGAGGGCCTTATACTGGGATGTGATGCTGGAGAATTATGGAAATGTTACCTCTCTAGGTAAGCACCCTTTCTTCCCGTAATACGAAGCTTTATTTCATCAGCCTTTGTTTTCTGATTATAAAAGTAATATAAACTACTTTAAGAAAGAGAAAATTTAAATGAAAAAAAATTATCTTAGCTCGGCTATTTGCCAACATTTTTATGTTTTTGAGTTTAAAAATTTTTTATTTTTCAACTGTGTATATGTGTACATACCTTCATATGATTATAAACTGTTTGGAAGTCTTATTTATATTGTTATATATCTTACAGCATAATTCTTTTCTTCCTAGAAGTAGAATTTTACCACATCTAAGTACTTGAATGGCTTTGAGTTCGTAGTTGTACTGCCAAATTTTTTCCCATAATGATCCATGTCCTCTTCTGATCTTACCCGTAACTGGTCTCCAGTAGATTTCTTTGAGTAATAATGAAATGTGAGCTTTCTTTTTTTTATATATTTTTATTAGCTGTTTGCATTTCATTAAACACCTGTCATGCTATGGGAATGATGTGATTTTGTTCATAATTAGCTACCCTGGCTTTGGAGGTAAGCATAGAAAGAATATATGCAATGCAAAGGACAAAGCAGCCAGTTACCTTCCAAGGGATTGTTACTGTGTTAAGTGCCATAGAGTTGGTTCTGACTCGTAGCGAGCCTGTATAGGCATTTTGAGGAGTGACTGGTGGTTTGAACCGCTGACCATTCAGTTTGTAGTGCATTGCTTATTCTACAGTGTCACACCAGAACTCCTGGGGATTAGGGAAAACCATCAAGGAAGTAGCTCTTGAGCTAGGTATTAAAGAAAAGAATGGGATTTTATTTGAAGAAGTAGACATTACAAACAGGAATCAGCCTCAATATCTAATTTTGACTGAAATACAGGGCTTTGAACTAATTTGAACTGATTCAGTCATGATTGATGGAGCAGAATGAGAATAGACCCATATTTGTAAAATATGACTTCTGGAATAGAGACTGTTACAGGTCAAAGCCCTGGAATGGAAGAATTTGAAGAAGCATAGTGAAACTGATGCAGGAGATTGGATTATTGCCAGGACTATGGAGCATGACACTTTCAGAGCAGTATGCTTTACTGCCTTCTTTGAGCTATTGTTTCCAACTGTGCCTATCAATGTACACTTTGCCCTTGTTTTCTAAGAGGGAGATTACGTTTCTAGCAGTGGGTTGATCTGTAATATTTCCTATTCCAGTTATTGTTGCAGGACATTCTCATTTTACAAATTTAAGTCTGATCCATTTTTATTTTGTCAGCCATAAATGCACTGGGAAGAACTTGTTCAAAGCCCTGATACAAATAATGTAGCATCATGGAGCAGTGGCATAGTATTCCATTGTCTATGCATCACACTTATATTGACTCTTTCCTAGTACAAATACTTTTTATTCAGGAGAATTATATGCCATTCCACTTGTTAAGTCCTGTCTATGTGTTTCAGACTTGTTTTAAAGTCATATTCATATTGTTGTTGTTAGGTGCCATCGAGTCGGTACTGACCCATATCGACCTTATGCATAGCAGAAGGAAACACTGCCCGATCCTGGGCCAACCTCACTACTGTTGCCACGCTTGAGTCCGTCGATGCTGCCACTTGGCCAATCCATCTCATTGGGGGTCTTCCTCTTTTTCTCTGACCCTTCACCTTACCAAACATGATATCCTTCTCCAGCGACTGGTCCCTCCTGACAATATGTCCAAAGCATAAGAGGCGAAGTTTGGCCATCGGCCTCTAAGGAGCACTGTGGCTGCACTTCTTCCAAAACGGATCTATTGGTTCTTTTGGCAGCCAATGGCACTTTCAATATTCTCCTCCAACACTGTCACTCAAAGGCATCAATTCTTCTACGGTCTTCCTTATTTACTGTCCAGCTTTCACATGCATATGAGGTTATTGAAAACACCATGGGCTTGGGTCAGGAGCACCTTAGTCCTCAAGCTGACATCTTTGCTCTTCAACGCTTTTTAAAAGGTCTTGTGCAGCAGATTTGCCTAATGCAATACGTCATTTGATCTCTTGACTGCTGCTTCTGTGAGTGTTGATAGTTGATCCAAGAAGAATGAAGTCCTTGACACCTTCAATCTTTTCTCCGTCGATAATAATGTTTATTGGTCCATTGGTGAGGATTTTTGTTTTCTTTACATTGAGATGTAATCCATACCAAAGTCTGTGCTCTTTGATCTTCATCAGTAAATGTTTTAAGTCCTCTTCACTTTTAGCAAGCAAGGTTGTATCATCTGCATATTGCAGGTTGTTAATGAGTCTTCCTCCAATCCTGATGCCACATTTTTCTTCATAGAACCCAGCTTCTTGGATTATTTGCTCAGCATACAGGTTGAATAAGTATGGTGAAAGAATGCACACCTTTCTTAATTTGAAACCATTCAGTGTTCCCATGTTCTGTTGAAACAACTGCCTCAGTCCAGGTACAGATTCCTCATGAGCACAATTAAGTGTTCCGGAATACTAATACTTTGCAATGTTGTCCATAACTTGTCATGATCCACACAATCGAAAGCCTTTGCATTGTCAGTAAAGCACAGGTAAACATATTTCTGATATTCTCTGCTTTCAGCCAAGATCCATCAGACATCAGCAGTGATATCCCGTGTTACTTGGCCTCTTCTGAATCTGGCTTGAACCTCTGAAAGTTCTCTGTCAGTATATGATTATAGCCGTTTCTGTATTATCTTTAGCAAAACTTTACTTGCATGGGATATCAAAGAGATTGTCCGATGGTTTCCGCATTCTGTTGGGTACCCTCTCTTTGGAATGGGCACAAATACCCCTTCTAATCAGTGGATCAGATAGTTGTCTTCCAAATTTCTTGGCAGAGATGAGTGAGTGCCTCCTGTGCCGCCTCACTTTCTTGAAAGATTTCAATTTTTATTCCATCAATTCCTTGTTCTTTGCCAGTTCCTTCAATGTACCTTGAACTTCCTCCCTGAATATCATTGGCTCTTGATCATATGCTACCTCTTGAAACGGTTGAACATTAACCATTTCCTTTTGTTACAGTGACTCTTTGTATTCCTTCCATCTTCTCTTGATGCTTTCTGCATCATTCAATAATTTGCCCAGAGAATTTTTCAATAATGAAAGTCTAGGCTTGAATTTTCATATTCATATAGGTCTTACGTATTTCTGGATGTTTACTCTTAGTAATTGGAGCCTTTTCTTACATTTTTGAATCAACTGTTGTTTGCCTTTATAAAAGTATTGATTTTTTGTGTATTAATTTTATATCCAGTAACCTTGCTACAATTCTTTCATTGGCCATAGTAATTTATACTATGTATTATTACACTTAAGGAGCTCTGGTAGCGTAGTGGTTACAAATCGGACTGTGAACCGCAAGGTCAGCAGTTCGAAACTACCAGCTGCTCCGTGGGAGAAAGATGAGACTTTCTGCTCCCGTAAAGATTTACAGCCTTGGAAACCCTGTTCAGGTCGCTATGGGTCGGAACCTACTCGACGGCACTTAACAACAACATTATTACACTTAAAAGAATATATTCTTTAAGTTTCAGCAGTGGCATTAGTAGATGATATATTTTGTTTGGTTTTATGTCTTTCTACATATTACCAAATTCCTTTCTACAAATGATCTGCCAATTTATACTCACAAAAATCACAAGAAAGCCCATTTCCCTATATGGTCAGTCTTTAAAATCTTAAATAGGGATATGAATAGTGTGAGGGGGCTTCAAAAAGTTTGTGGAAAAATTTCATTATCTTTAAATTCCATTTTTCTGTGAACTTTTTGAGCCCTCTCCACGGGAGAAAGATGAGGCATTCTGCTCCCGTAAAGATTAACAGCCTCGGAAATCCTGTGCAGGGTCGCTATGAGTCAGAACTGACTCCACGGCACACAACAACAAACAACAAGTATGTACTCAAAGGAGCTCTGGTAATGTAGTAGTTACGACTTGAGCTGTTAACTGCAAGGTCAGCAGTTTGAAACTACCAGCTGTTTCACGGGAGAAAGATGAGACTGTCTGCTTCCGTAAAGATTTACAGTCCTGGAAACCCTATGCAGGGTTGCTATGAGTTGGAATTGACTTAAAGACACCACCACCAACAAAGTATATACTCATAGCTATATATTGATCTGTAGTTTTATATTTTAGTGTTGTCTTTGATTTTAGTATTAAGGTAATGCTAGCTTCAGAATTTGTTGTAAAGTGTTCCCACCTCTTATTTTGGAGAAGAATGTGTGAATACTAGTATTAATTCTGTAAATGGTCTAATTCACCAGTGAAACAATTTGTGCATTTACATTTTTTTTGTAGGTAGCGTCTTTGAGCACTGCATTTACCGGTTAACCGTCTATTCAGATACACTACTACTTCCTGAGTCAGTTTTAGTAGTTATATCTTTTAAGAATTTGCCCATTATTTCAAAGTTGTTTAATTTGTTGACACACTGTTGTCACAGTTTTTTATTTCTGTAAGTTGGTAGCAGTTTCCATTGGCGGTAACTTTTGAGCTTAGTTTTCAAGAGGTAAGTAGAAATTTGCGAAAAGGCAGCACACTCTGGTAGAGAGAAGGGCATGGACAATTATAGGGAATTTATGTTTGGAGAGCTGCAAGTTGATCACTGTGCTAGAGTATAGGGCAATAAGGGGTACTGATATGAGGTGATACCAGAAAAATGAGACAGTTGGTCAGGGCATCTCTTACAGACTCTGCTGATCATTTGTACTTTATCCTGTAGTTAATAGGAGCCATTGGTTTTAAGAAGGTGAATGACATGATCAAATTTACCTATTGGTAATGGTAAAGGAGTAGCCATGCGTTAGAAAAGGGAAGGAGAAGCAACCTATCTGTTTCTTTCAGGACTTCACTAAAAAGTAACCAGCTCCCTCTTATCTATTCTGACATTTTCCAATATACCAAGGCTCAGTAAGTACATGGACAATCTGAATCTTATACAAATGTAGTTGGTAGCTTTATTAGATAGATAACTACTAATAAATGAGTTGCTGATTTCTTAGCCATTTTCCTCCTCAATTTAACCATGCATCGTTGGAGGAGAATACTGAAAGTGCCATGGACTGCCAAAAGGACCAATAGATCTGTTTTGGAAGAAGTGCAGTCAGAGTGCCCCTTGGAGGCCAAGATGGTTAAGCTTCGTCTCTCCTACCTTGGACATATTGTCCAGAGGGAATAGTCACTGGAGAAGGATGTCATACAGTAAGATGGAGGGTCAGAGAAAAAGAGGAAGACTCCTAATGAGATGGATTGGCCAGTTGGCATCATTGATGGACTCAAGTGTGGCAGCGGTAGTGAGGTTGGCCCAGGATTGGACAGCATGGAGTTGCTATGAGTCAGTTCCGACTCGATGGTACCTGACAACAACAACAACAACACTGTTAGGTTTCTGTTTCAATATACCTACTCTACTCTTCACTAATTCATGATCTCATTATCTTACAATTTGCATTTAAGTAAGAAAAAGCTTCCCAACTATTTTGTACATTAATGACCTAAGTCCAGCAGTAACAACTGCTAAGGTTTGAGAGGAGAGTAATGCTGGGGGTGATGGTTAAGGTTATATGTTAACTAGGCTGGACATGATTATCAGTGGCTTGATAGTTATGTAATGGTGGTGTTGTTAAGTACCATCTTGTCAGTTTCAAGTCATGGAGACCTTGTATAGAGTTTATGAGGAGCAGGTGGTGGGTTTTAACTACTGACCTTGTGGTTAGCCATCCAGTGCTTTTTCTACAGCAAAACACCAGTACGCCATATAATGATGTAGTCATCCTCCTTTTTGCATAATGCTGATTTTCAAATAACAACCTAGTCTTTGGAACCTAACCATGTTATTAGTAAGGAGTGAGTGTATAAGGCAGGACTAAAGCTGACTTCTTTAGCAGTTACATAACAAAAGAGCTCATCTGTCTACCAGCATCCAGATGTCAAGTATCATTGTGCAACATCGGCATACTACGTGAATTATGAAACCACTCCTTGATCCAATCACTGTTGATAGGGAAACTAGAGTATCAATAGGAGATTGGACTAGGACACCTCTCCAGCCCTGCAGCCTGTTAAGTACTATCTAGTAGAGTAGGGTAGTATGATAGGCAGTTTTGCCAGAGTCCCAAAATAATTCTAACCTGAGTTAAAATTGTCTGTAGTTCACATTAATACTTACTGGATGTTTTCCATTTCTACTTTCTCAAAAATTTAAGTTTATAAAGGAATAAAAATAGCTACATTCCTTTCTTTGAGAAGAAAGCTTTTCCACATTTATTACATTTATAAGGTTTCTTACCAGAATGGTTCCATAAATGCATTAGAAAACTTGAGTGCTGAATAAAGCCTTTCCATGTGGCGCTGTGGGTTAATGCGCTAGACTGCAAAGCCATTTGAACTGCAAGGTTGGTGGTTCAAGCTCACCAGTTGCTCCCCAGAAACCCTATAAAGGTTCACTATAGGTCAGAATCGACTTGATGGCACTTAACAACACTCTTTACAATTATGGGGTTTTTTGCCAATGTGGATTCTCTTATGATTCATAAAATGAGAGTTAGGTAGAAAGAAATTAGCTAGATAACTACTAATAAATTAGTTCCTATTTTCTCAGTATTTAGGTAGAAGAAAAGTATTGTTATATTTAAATGCAAAATATTCTTCAGCTAGCTTTACTTATTAGATTATTTGGGGAATTCCTTCATAATTTTTCCATGCTTAGCTTTTTTTAAAGTAAATATTTTACTTTAAAATATTAGAAGACTTGAGCGCTGAATAAAGCCTTTTCCACACTCTTTACATTTATGGGGTTTCTCGCCAGTGTGGTTTCTCCTATGGTTTATAAAATAAGAGATTTTATTGAAATGTTTACAACATATATCACATTTATAAAACAAATAATTTCACAATTTAAAAAAAAGTGTTTGAAAATGTTAGAAGAGACTTTGGAGATTCACTATTTCAACTGTACCATTTTCATTTTTCAAAATGGAATGAAGGAAGTTACACAGAATTAAGCTGCTTCTTAATGAATTTATTCATGTAAATTTCTTCCAATTAATTAAAATGTGTTCAGGTACTTGACTCTTAAAAAATGAAAAATTGTTTTTCAGAGCCCTTAGGTATACATTACCTCCTTTAGATTTTCTATTTTCCTAGCATGAAGAAAAGAAGAAAGACAATTATTTCTAACCCAAATGGTCCTTCCAATTCCCTCTAACTTTCTGAGCCTCACATTTGAGCTACATACATTGATGCCACGTGCTCTCTCTTGATTCTTCCTTGCATCCATTTTCTCAGCCGCATTTGTATATTCTATCTGATCCCTGAAGACACAGAGCTTGGGAGTGCCTCAAGGTGAGTTCTAGGATAATGTATTTACAGCATACGGTCAGTGTAATAGTCAGCTTTTTGTATCTTCATAAAATGTTTCTCTTTTCACCCTGCAGAATTCTGAAACTTTTTTGTGTGCATATGAAAGTTTGCCCTTGTATGCTATATTACAGTCATTTGAAGATCTAGTTCTTACATACACAGGGACATGATAACATTTGCATTTTTAATTCCTTTTGCCAGAATGGGAGACCATGACCGAGAATGAGGAGGTGACATCAAAGCCAGGCATTTCTCAAAGATCAGACTCTCAGAAAGGAGCATCAAAAAGACTTCGCAGTATTCCTAAGGTCCTTGACTTCGAGAAAGAGTATGAATGGCAAGTGTTGGCAAGTCAGTGGGAACATGAAACAGGAGAAAGGATAGATACAGTGAGAAAAAGTTGCCCACGTGAACGAAATAAGAAGAGAAGAACACCACCAGAAAAGCGGGCCCAAAAGTGGAAGGAATTTGGAGACAGCTTGGCTTTAGGTTCACTACTTTCTGAAAGTTTAATAGGTATTGAAGGAAAAAAGTTTTATAAATGTGATATATGTTGTAAACATTTCAATAAAATATCTCATTTTATAAACCATAGGCGAACCCACACTGGCGAGAAACCCCATAAATGTAAAGAGTGTGGAAAAGGCTTTATTCAGCGTTCAAGTCTTCTAATGCATTTACGGAACCATTCTGGTGAGAAACCTTACAAATGTAATGAATGTGGAAAAGCCTTCTCTCAAAGTGCTTACCTTCTAAACCATCAGAGAATCCACACTGGGGAGAAACCTTACAAATGTAAGGAGTGTGGAAAGGGCTTCTATAGGCACTCGGGCCTTATTATACATCTAAGGCGCCATTCTGGAGAGAGACCTTATAAATGTAATGAATGTGGGAAAGTTTTCTCTCAGAATGCTTACCTCATTGACCATCAGAGACTACACAAAGGGGAAGAACCTTATAAATGTAACAAGTGTCAGAAAGCTTTCATTCTGAAGAAGAGTCTCATTTTGCACCAGAGAATCCACTCTGGGGAAAAACCATATAAATGTGATGAATGTGGGAAAACCTTCGCTCAGACCACTTACCTTGTTGACCATCAGCGACTCCACAGTGCAGAGAACCCATACAAGTGTAAAGAATGTGGGAAAGTTTTCATTCGAAGTAAAAGCCTCCTCTTACACCAGAGAGTCCACACAGAAAAGAAAACCTTTGGGTGTAAAAAGTGTGGTAAGATTTTCAGCTCCAAGACAAACCTCATTGATCATAAGAGGATGCACAGCAGAGAGAAGCCGTATAAGTGCACCGAGTGTGGAAAGGCCTTCACTCAAAGTGCTTACCTTTTTGACCATCAGAGGCTCCACAATGGGGAGAAGCCCTATGAGTGTAATGAATGTGGGAAAGTTTTCATTCTGAAGAAGAGCCTCATTTTACATCAGAGGTTCCACACCGGAGAGAATCTCTTTGAATGTAAAGACTGTGGCAAGGTCTTTGGCTCTAATAGAAACCTCATTGACCATGAGAGACTCCACAATGGGGAGAAGCCCTATGAATGTCGAGAGTGTGGGAAAACCTTCATTATGAGCAAAAGTTTTATGGTCCACCAGAAGCTCCACACCCAAGAGAAAGCCTACAAATGTGAGGACTGTGGGAAGGCTTTCAGTTATAATTCAAGCTTGCTTGTACATCGAAGAATCCACACTGGGGAAAAACCCTTTGAATGTAGTGAATGTGGAAGAGCTTTCAGTTCTAATAGAAATCTCATTGAACATAAGAGAATCCACAGTGGTGAGAAACCCTATGAGTGTAATGAGTGTGGCAAATGCTTCATTCTGAAGAAAAGCCTCATTGGACATCAGAGAATTCACACGAGGGAGAAATCTTACAAATGTAATGACTGTGGAAAAGTCTTTAGTTACCGCTCAAACCTTGTAGCCCATCAGAGAATCCACACTGGTGAGAAGCCCTATGCATGTAATGAGTGTGGGAAAGGCTTTACTTACAATAGAAACCTTATTGAACATCAAAGAATTCACAGTGGGGAAAAAACCTTCGAATGTCTTGTATGTAGAAAAGTCCTTACCTCTAGTAGAAACCTTATGGTACATCAAAGAATCCATACTGGGGAGAAACCTTATAAATGTAATGAGTGTGGAAAAGACTTCAGTCAGAATAAAAACCTTGTTGTACATCAGAGAATGCACACTGGGGAGAAACCGTATGAGTGTGAGAAGTGTAGAAAATCTTTTACTTCTAAGAGAAATTTAGTTGGCCACCAAAGAATACACACAGGGGAAAAACCTTATGGGTGCAATGATTGTAGTAAAGTTTTTAGACAAAGAAAAAACCTTACTGTACATCAGAAAATTCATACAGATGAAAAACCCTATGAATGTGACAAGTCTGAAAGGGAATTCTCTCAGACTTCTAACCTTCATTTTCAACCAAAAAATCTATACCGTGGAGAAATTCTTTTGACTACAGATTACCAGTGAGTCCAAGATAGAGATTCGGAAAATGTAGTGTTACATGTAAAATCAAATAGAGTCATTGTTGAAGGAATAACACTGTGTTTCCTGTAAGGAAAAAAATTAATGAATGACTCTTTTATGGAAAGTTAATGTAGACGTTCATGTCTATGAAAACGTGAACCATATTCTAGTTAAGGGTATAATTAATGTTCCACACCATTTGGTATGACCCTTACGAGGGACCTTGGAGCAATTAAGAACTCTGAAAAAATTGAGTTGTGTCTTTTGAGATGTAATGTAATTATAAATGATAGCAAAATATCTTTGTATTAACAAGAGGGCATTCATTCTAAAGTCTTGGATCTAGTGCTGAATATTTTAAAGATAGCTTACTGCTACAGAAAGCCTGTGTAGATAATATGGTACAGACTTATAAGACATGGATTTTTGTGGGCCTGAGTCTGCTATTTGAGAGTAGCCTAAAATGAACACTAGATTTGGAATCAGAAGACCTAAGGATTCAGTCCTGCCTCTTTGACCTACTATGTGTGTGATGTTATTAGGTCAGCCTCTAAGTCTCAGTTTTTCTTCTAAGTCAAATGTTGATATAATGCCTACCTCACAGGGTTGTTGTGAGTGTTAAGTGGAAGGATTTTTGTGGAAGTACTTTGTAAAATATTCAATTGTCAATAAAATTGAACAAAACAGGTAAGATCCAGCTCTAGAACATGAATGATAGTAGGTATAATGTAAGATTGTTCACTAAATCTGAATTTTACAATGACAGAGACTCCCTGAACCTCAAGAGAATTATTTTTAGCTGGAAAGGAAGTATGGGGATAACAAACTTAAACTCACTCTCTAAGAATAACTTTGAAATTATATTTTTAAAAATAAGGGAGTTACATAATGTGCCTAGTTAGTCTTTATGAAAAAATCTTGAGTTACAGGAAAGAATATGTCTAGAAAAACTGTCTAGGCATAAACAGCGATGCCAAGGAAAACAATTTGTTTTTTAACCTTCAGATTTGAAAGTTGATAAATGTAGAGTATCAAAATGAAAGACTAGTTCTTTGTTGCTTTCCATGTTCATAGGGTAAAAATCTTTAATCCTCCCGAGCCTCTGGACTCCTGGTGTGGCGCTGTAGGATAAGCTATGGAATGATTACCACAAGTTGGCATTTTATACCCACCGTCTGCTCCTCAAACCCTATGCAAGGTCGCTAAGAGTCAGGAATTACTGGATGGCAATTAACAACCACCACCCAGCCCCTGAGCTCATGATCCCTGCCTTTGTCATTCTTAATTCTAATCAGCTTGTCATCATTGTTTAACTCCAACTTAAAACCTGCAACTGAGTTGTTCCATTGGGTTGTCAGCCTTGTGTAGGACACATAATACACACAGTCATCTACCACCGGTGACTATGAGGGCAGGCAACACAGAGAGGAAATTGTAGGCTCCTGGATGGTGTATGGTCTAGAAAACAATCTTCTGAAATAATACTCTGTTCTAGCACTCAACTTACTACTAAGCTTTTCACACAGAGCCCTTCAAGTTCCGATGAAACCAGTTCAGAATATAGTCCTGGGCAGTCAGTGCCCATGAACCTCTGCAAACCAATCATTTATTCAGTCTGTGCCCTTTGTACATTCATAGATATCATTCATCCTACGTTCTTGAGCTTCAGTTGGTAATAATAGGCTGTTATCTTCAAAACTCCAGTTCTGCAGCTATACTGTAAATACCTTAATATCAAGGATTTAATACTAGTAGCACCTAAGTGTTGTGTTGATGTTAAGTGGTATTATTTCAGCCCCAAAGCTCCTTGAGAACTAGTTCATTGTTAGACTAAAAGGTATCCAAGAGTGAAAGCTGGAAAGGACCTATGGTTTAAAGTTTTAAGAACTGGGTATGAGTTACATCCTGCCACTTTTCTTGAACAAATCACTTCATGGAGCCTTGGTTTTCTCATCCATCTCACAGTTATAGTATCTATCTCACAAAATTGCCAGGAGGTAATATAAAAATGGTATACAAGAAGCAAAACTATATAGGTGTAAACAGCTTCCCGTTTCGAGCTGGTCTGAGCATTGGGACCTCAGGTGCACAAAAGGTGGTAGTGGTTGCCATGGAAGAGGCAAACCCTGAATCCAACAGAAAGACAGGGTTGTTGGGGTTAGTTGTAGTGTTTCTAACTCAGCGACTCCATGCACAACAGAATGGAAAAAGCCTGGTCCTGCACCAGCTTCACAGTTGTCACGCTTGAGTCCATTGCTGCTGCCACAGCACCAATCCATCTCGTTGGCGGTCTCCCTCTTTTTTGCTGGCCCTCTACAAAGCATGATGTCCTTCTCCAGTGACTGGTCCCTCCTGATGATAAGTCTGCAGTATGAGAGACAAAGTCTAGTCATCTTGGCTTCTAAGGAGCATTCTGATTATACTTTTCAACACAGATTAGAAAGATAGAGTGGATCTGGACCTGAAAAAGAATAAGCAGGGAGTTTGGTCTGTGCCTGACAAGATTCCAGCATGATCTGCATTCTAATATGTTGTTGTTGTTGTTAAGTGCCGTCGAGTCGGTTCCGACCCATAGCGACCCTGTACAGGGTTTCCGAGGGTGTAAATCTTTACGGGAGTAGAAAGCCTCATCTTTCTCCCACGGAGCAGCTGGCAGTTTCGAACTGCTGACCTTAAGGTTCGCAGCCCGATTCATAACCACTACGCTACCAGAGCTCCTTGCATTCTAATATAGAAGTCCCGAAATGGTTATGACAGAAAAATGCCAGAACATCACCCTGAAAAGATTTCTATGAATAATAGCTGTTTTCAACTCACTGATATTTACAGCCCTTGGAAACTACGGCAGTGCAGAGCAGAAAAGGGGGACAGTTGACGACCTACTAAGACAAAAAAAAAAAAAAGTCCCTTATATACAACAGCAGCTAAGTTGCTCCCTTGGGTTGTGAGCTTCATGCAGGGCATCTAATTCACACATAGTCACATTGTGATAAAGGTGTCAGCACAGTGAGACAATTGTAAGCTCCTGCATTCTGTATGGATTAGGAAAACTTTAAAATAGCCATGCTATAGAAATGTCACCCCAGATTACATGGTAATTACAAAGAGAAAATAGACAAACAGTGAAGAAGGCTGGCATTTACCTTTTATCAAGTGATAAAATAATATCATTAAGACCAGAACAGCCTATATAATGTGCCTCTTTATGTAATGCAATACACTAGAAAAATGTTTAAATTGAATTAAGCTTCTTAAACCTAACTACCAATGTACAGGAAATGTCAAGGAACAAGATAACACCATGGAACACACAAATCCAGAACAATTATATAAGTAAACTGCCCTGGACTCTTTAAAAGATGGCATCACTATGAGAAAAAAAAAAAAAAAGTAGGAGGGAGAATTGTTGAAGCTGGCGGAGGGTACTGCGAGTGTATTATACTATTCTCTGTTTTTGTATATATATGTAATGTTCTATAATAAAATGTATGAAAAGTAGATGAGGGATGTCAGTTATTAAAGATACTAAAGAGCCATGTGGTACTATAAGAACCAGAAATAAATAGGCCCACATAGATGTTCAGTTCTATGGCAGAGGGATTACCTTTTTTTTTTTTTTTTTTAACAATACTAGAGTCCTGGTGTGGCCCTGTGGGTTAATACGCTGGACTACAGAGTTGGTTTGAACCACAAGGTCGGCAATTCAGGCTGACCAGCTGCTCCTCAGAAGCCCTATATAGGGTTGCTATGAGTCAGAACTGACTCAATAGCACTTAACAACAAAAAGCAATTTTTTTAAGTGCTGTCGAGTTGGTTCCAACTCATAACAACCTTGTATAGGGCTTCTGAGGAGAGGCTGGTGAGTTTGAATCATTGACCTTGAAGTTCAAACTAACCTTGTCCAGTGCTTATCCCATGGCGCCACACCAGGACTGCTAAAGAGCAATTGGGTGGGTATTTATAGGCCAAACCAAAAACAACCCTCTATCCAAATTCCACACTCTGTTCAGAAACTTAAATGTAAAACATAAAACTATACACTTCTTTAATTACAAATAGCAAAACGCTTCAGGATCTAGAACTAAGTAGATGACATTGAAAGCATAATTGTAAAATGGAAAAAGAAAAAATTGTATATTGCACTAAATGAAAATTAATTTGTAGAAGAATAAAGAAAAAACTAAGAAAATATTTGCATGTCACATATCCGGCAAAGGACTTGTATCTAGGTTACATAAAGAACTCTCAAAACTTAATTTTAAAAATGAATCCAATTTAAAAATGTATGTTGTTATGTGACGTGGAGTCGGTTCTGACTCATAGCAACCCTGAACAGGGTTTCCAAGGCTGTAAATCTTTATGGAAGCAGAAAGCCTCATCTTTCTCCCACAGAACAGCTGGTAGTTTCGAACTGCTGACCTTGAGGTTCGCAGCCCCATTCGTAACCACTACGCTAATAAAATGTATAGAAGATTTTTTTTTTGAGTCACAGATGGCAAATAAACACATTAAGAGATATTCAACATTATTAGCTATTAAAGAACTACAAATTTACGTCTCAAAGAAACACCACTACATACCCTTCAGAGTAGCTAAAATGAAAATACACTGAAGAAGATGCGAAAAAGCATTCATTCTCTCATACATTGTTAGGAATGTAAATTGATAGAGCCATAATGGAAAAGTTTGTTTTACCCAAAAACTGCATGCTTGGGCATTTATCCCAGACAAATGAAAACTACTTTTCACACAAAAAACAGTATATAAATGTTTGTAATATCTTTATTTGTAATAGTCAAAACAACCCAAATGTTCTTACACAAGTTAGAACAAACTGGTATATCTCTACCATGTAACATTTACACTCAGCAGTAAAAGAGAATGTTGGATGGAACATTTTGGATAAACCTCAAGGGAATTATTTTGAATGAAAAATGCCATCTCAAAAGGCCACATACTATTTTATATGAACTCATTTATGTAGCAATCTGTAAATGTTCAAATGATATGCAAAACAGGTTAGTGGTTCCC